CAGTCAACCACAACACAATTGAGCCTATGTGTGAAATGTGTTGGATGAAATCATTTGCTCAATGATATGAAACAGATCTTACGTCGTTCACAAGACCAGACAGCTCAGTCAGTCAGTTAACTCATCACAAGTTTTCCTTAAATGTAAATGATTTGTAACGCGTTTGCACGTGTCAGCCGCCGTAAATTACTCTTCTGAGACAGCCAACAGTTTTTAAGAGAGAATTGAAACAAGACTCGATAAAGGTGGTGTTGTCAGAGCTATGTTTCTCATCTTAAAGAAGGCATTTGTAAATCTGCAAGAGGTGCAAGCATGAAGAGATTATATCATTCCACTCAGGAAAAGTTGATTCAGTTAATTTTATGATCAATGGAACTCAATCCCTCAAGCCTCATTGAGTTTATTTAAAACTCCTCCAAAACATTGTAATCAGCTCTACTAAATAAACAATCTACTGCACTGCTCCCTGTCTTTCTCGAATGCTATGTATGCATTTTTTGTTTTATTATTTTAAATGAGCATGTCCATTGTGCTCTAAATTGTCTGTTTCTAATGATTGTATTAAAGTGTTATTTTATATTTAATTTTTGTTTGTATTTTGACTGATGTACATCTGTCCAGGGATTACAGATCAGTATTAGCTTCGTTGCTAACTCTATCACATTCACAGAAATGTTGATTAATGTGCCCTGTCCCTGACAAATGCAATCAATTACAAATCTTATTTTTATATATTTTATAACATTCAAAATACTGTAAGAAAGAAACAGTGCATCTTTATAAAAGATCTGTTTTTTATCCATTCTGTGGATGTATTTTTGTTGTTGTGTTCAAATGTAAAAAATGTGATACACTTTGCAAATGATCATGTATCTTAAGAATCCTGACTATTTGTGACTTCACTTCAGCCAAAGGTTTAGAGGAGCTATTGAACATCAAATAAAATGTCTTTCATTTAAATGATCAAAAAACAATAAAGGCTCTATAAAACTCCCTATTACCCAGCAGGATATACAAACCAACAGAGAAACTACTGACAGTTGTTGAAAGTTGAAATCCCCCCATCATATAGTAGATGATGATGTTTCTTTTGCTGTCATTACATTTCAACACAAGTGTCAGATTTTAGTATAGTCAGTTTTTTCTGGACACGCCCACTTGTTTTCCGTGCGGCGTTCACTGCTCTCATCTGCAGGATCTAGAGCAGGGGTGTCAAACTCAATTTCATCACGGGCCACATTCGCATAAAGGTTGCACTCAAAGGGCCGGTTGTAACTATATAAATATATAATATATATATATATATATAAAATAATGTATTATATTACATGATTGCCGCTGAATTGGATTATTATCGGATAGGATAATAACTTAGTAACTAACTACGTTTGAAAGCAGAAGTCCAGGGCAAATAATTGCAAGTCTCTTCAGTGCGCATGTCACAAAACGAGATGCATTGTGGGACATGTAGTTTATGGGCAACCTGCTTCTATAAAGTGGCATGTAACCATATAATAAACGTATTATATTATTTGCAAGCTCTTGTGGGGCCGCATAAAATGAAGACGCGGGCCAGATTTGGCCCCCGGGCCTTGAGTTTGAGACCCCTGATCTAGAGGCAGGCCTAATGAGGATCCGTCATCTTCATCCCGTTGTTCTCGATGAAGTGGAAATTAGAGATCTCGTCCATGTTGGAGGCGTGCTGCAGACATCTGACACACCACCACCACCACCACCAACAACAACAACAACAACAACAACAACAACAACAACAACAACAACAACAACAACAGGCACAGGTTAGTGTGGACAACGACAACATTTCAGAATCAGACCAGAATCAGAATCAAGTTTATTGCCAGGTCCGTTTACACATACAAGGAATTTGCTTTGGTATATGGTGGTACGAACATAAACAATCTAAGAAAATAAGTTGCAATAGGAAACAAATAAATATATAAGGATAATACAAAATAAGTATTTTTAAGAGACAGTTTAGCATTAATAATAATAATAAGGACAAATATTTACAGCAAATTTGAATATACAAAAACCTTAAAAGCTAAAAATACAAAAACACTTAGGACAGTGAGTATATGGCCAACTACAGTATATTACATTTTAAAGGATGAAATATAGAATATCATATTTAATTCCTAGTTGTAAGATAACTTTTTAGACTTTCATTGATTTAACATTTTAAATTCCTTAAGGAGAAACTTGGATATTTGTTTCTTGTGTGTAAACCTCAGTGGTTACTGAACCAGCTGAAGCAAAAGGTCCTTACAAGAGGTGAGAGAGAAACTATGTTTTTTTAATTTCATGTTGTTTCAACAGCAGTTATAAAGAACTAACAAAAGCATACTTAACCAGCACATGATGGACATTATTTTATAAATAAGTATTTTCATGTCATTGAAAAGTCACCTTCACAGGTCTGAGGATGGACTTGGACTAAAGAAATTGTGTTTGACTAAGACCAAAAAGACCCATTACACAACTAATTGACTAAGAGGGGGCAGTCATAGCACGTAAACAAATTTGGAATGAATCATTCGAAAAGTTTATGAGATTTTTTTTCATGGTATAACTACTTTAATAAAACGATACAAATAATAGTGCCTTCAAATATAATTCAACACTATCATGAAAATTAATGTATATCAACGAAAAGTCTCAAATGCATTGCGATAAAAGGTAGTTTAAACTTTATCCTAAGAAATCAAAGTTTTCAGTGAATACGTCATAACATTCAGACATGCAGTGTATCAATGATGAAGGGAAATATTGGACACAATATTTGTGGTACAATGTAAACACGTTTACTTTTACGTAAGTACAACACTGAAAATAGTTCTCCTTTTCCACACACAAACAACTATTACAATTATAATACAACTCACCCATAAATAGGCATCTTTTATATTTACATTATTTTCATTTATCTTTTATCTTTAAGAGATAATTGCCTCATTTACAATAACATAACAATGAAAATACATGCAATAAAGTGGATAAATCAAATACAATTCTGATAAACATCACAAGACATTTCTACTACTTAAAAAAAGTTTTTGAAATGTCCACAGATTGGGCCAATTGGACCCTCTATCCTTTTATTTTGAACTTCCTGCTATCAGTAGTTACAAGTCTTTCATATTTGCTTCTTCTTTGTGATTTAAGTGGTAGCATTACGATATAATTGACTTACAAAAATTACATTTGTTATATTTTGTTGGACAGATCAATGAGTCTTTATTAGATACACTATACACCAGCAAAGGCTCACCACAAGGGGGCATCCTGTCCCTCTTCCTGTTCATTCTCCACACTGATGAATGTAAGAGCATGCATTCCAAAACACAGAATATGGTATTAGGACCAATGTCAAATCAAATCAAATCAAGTTTTATTTATATAGCACATTTATAAACGATTTTTGATCGAGCCAAAGTGCTGTACATCAAATTTAAATAGCCTACAGTAGAGACACCTGTCTACTTATTCAGGAAGTCAAATACATTCAGTGTTCAAAAAGCATTTGACCAACCTTCTACAGTTTCTTAATCCAGAGTATTCTTGCTCTAATGCTGCTTCCTCTCCCTTATTGTCGATTAAATAATGCGCTTTCAGACCACAGTTCCCTGAATGCCCCCTCTGAAGTTTAGCCTCATGCTAGGGGCAGCAGGTCAGGGCCTTAACATCATGGGGTATATAATACTCATGTCCTCCACCCCAAGTTCCTTCTGATTCCTCTCGGGGGTGCACATGCCTCCCCAGATGCTAAAAAACCAAGGACTTGAAGAACAAAATGGTGATTATTGTCTGTTTTGACTTGCCTATAATCACATCACCATAGATTAATACAGTTGTGTTGAAAGAAATCAGACGAAACTTTTGGAATAAAACCCTTTGATTGGTTTACAGAACTGTAGTAATTAAAGGGGCCCTATATGCTCCTTTTCAGGTTTCTATCTTTATTTCTCTCATACTGCTCGGCAGCACCTCTGCTTTGCCACTAGCATTTATTTTCATTTAGAGTCTGATTATGGTGTGGATCTACAGTATGATTCAATCATTTAGGTTGCTTCTATTCATCTCTATTTTTTTGAAGAGTTTCAATGGATGCACGCGGAGGAGTTACCGGTAATCAACAAGCTTCTTCAGTGTTTGAGCAGCACTAATACAAAATAACAAAGCAAAAAATGTTTTAAAAACATCCTGAATAGTTTAATACAAAATGCCTGTGAAGTGTGCAACACATACCCACTGTTAATCTAATGTAGAGGAAGGGAGAATGGAAGGAAGGAATGGAGTAAAAAACACTGAATAGACAACCCAGTTTCACGGCATTTCGTGTTATAGTCACGACATTTAATCTATTGATTCGTGTTCACCAACACGATATTCCCCTTTTTTTCGTGTCACACAGACCGATTTTAAAAAAGCGATGTATTTCTATTCGTAGTATGTTTCGTGCCTGTAACACGTCTTTTTGTCCGTTTGGGTCTTGGAAGACCGGAAGCTGTGGGGTTCATAAAAACATGTTCTTACTCAATATCAAGCCATGATTATTGTTTTTATTTTAAATTGTATAATGTCTGACTTTTTTTGTCGTCTGTGAGGAAAATAAATGGGGCTCAGAGCCTCAGAATACTGAAATCTGTTTTTTTAAATCTTTTTTTCCTTCTAATTTGTTATTATTTTCTAAATAGTGCATGGTGATATGTAAATGAGTTCATATCAAATGGAAAAGTTACGTTTTAATGCACGTTATTTTCTACTCATTTAGATAATGAGCAGCAGCTGTCTGCAGTGTCAGAATGAAGAGCTGTTGGAGAAACCTGCACCATGACGCTCTGCTGCTGCCATCTACTGCTGTAACCAGGTTACTGTTTGGATACCACTTCCTGTTGACAGGGTAGTAGTAGTGCTACATTTTCTATAGAGTATATGCATGTATTAACCCTAAAGCAACCAGGAAACCAAAAACAAGTACATTTATTGGTTTACATAATGCATTTTTATTGTTTTTTTACAATATAGAGGCACTCTTGATATATAATCAGTTGCATCATGCAATACTATTGAGGTTATACATCCATAATATATTGCAATACCAATCACACATTTTTATATTACACAAATAAAAGCTTACGGCAAAGCACATTTCATAGGTTATAGAGTATTTTGCTAGAAAGAACAGTGCACATGGAAACAACATACACATAGTTCAGGAAAACAACATGTCAACAACCAGTGTTATAAAGGATGTGGCTTATTTCCTAAATTGAGTGTAGGCTACTACTGCTGACAGTTTTTCACTGCATAAACTCTCAGATACATCCTACCTGACTGACCTCCTCCACAGACACACTCCCACTCGCTCTGCTGCTGCCAACCTCCTGTCCCCCCCCACCCGGACCAACCTCAAGTCCTGGGGCGATAGAGCCTTCTCCGTTGCTGCACCCACCCTCTGGAACTCACTACCCCAACCCATCAGAGATTCTTCCTCCCTCACAGCATTCAAAACATCACTCAAAACCCACCTGTTCAACACTGCATTCAACCACTGACCCCCCCCCCCTATTTTCTGTTCTGTTTATCTCTTTTTGTATTTTTCTTTGTTTTGTTTTTTGTTGTTTGTTTTTTTAATTCTCTGTCAAAGCGTCTTTGAGTTTCCTGAAAAGCGCTATACAAGCCTCATGTATTATTATTATTATTATTATTATTATTATTATTATTATACATCTTCTCAATCAATAAGTATACAGATTATTTTTAGGTAGTGCAATACCTACGTTTTGTTCTGATTGTTTTACCTGTGCTGTTAAAAACACTACGGCTCTTACAGGTTTGCCAGAAACTCCCTTATTTCTCCGCACATTCTGTCCCTGCCTTTGGCCCTGATCTTCTCCAGAACTTTGATGCTGCTGTCACGATAGAAGGATTGGTGCGGTATTGCTGCTGCCTTCATGTGATATTTGAGTGACTTTTGATACTCCTTTCGATCGAAATTTAAATATCTTGCGTAGTTGTTGTAAAGCACCTGTTTGTCTGCTGGTTCCAAATCCCTTTCTAGCAGTTCCTGATATATCTGCTCAGCTTTAGCCTGGCCATAATTTGCCTTTGCATACACATTTGCAAGGTCCATCTTCTTCACAAGGGAAGAATGAGGGTAGAGAGAAATCACCTCCTCATGGAGACCCACTGCTCTGTCTATCATGCTTTTCTTTGGGCGACTGTCCCTGGAAATAGTTATCTTCCATTTGTAGCAGAGAGCAGCGCATCTCTTCAGATAACGCTCATCTGGATGGTCCTTCAGAGCCTCCTCTGCCAAATCAATAGCCTCATCAACAGGTAAATATGTTCTGTAAACCCTTAGTATGGCTTTAAAACCACTGTAGCTGCTGACAGGATTCCTTAAAACCTCTCTGGCTAACTCACGTGCTTCATCTTCAATACTTTCTCCTCTCTTAGCACGTTGATCAAGGTATTTAACAGCGAGGTACAAGTTCTCTGGATCCTGTTCCTGAGCGATTCTCATTTTCTCCAAGATTTCCTCTTTCAGCCCTGTGCTGCTGTGCTTAGAAGCATTCACTAACCCTATGATGTAGCTAGTGTTCCACTCCACCATGTCCGGCTGCATCTTGATGGCTTTCTGGAAGTAATCTGCAGACAGCAGCTTTTTGTCTGCGCTGAAGTTCATCAGGGTCCAGGCTTTTTCAGCGTAGGTCTCCGGGTGGAGCTCCTCCTGGGATGGAGATGGGTATTTTTTATTCAGGGCGTCGATCTTTGACAGGTAGGCCTCGCTCTCTGCTTGCTCTCCCAGGTGGTGGTGCAGCCAAGCCAGGTTCCCGTAGTTCACCACTAACCAGGGGCCCTCACCTGCGTTTCTCATGTTATTGAAGGCCTCTGTAGCCTTGTTGAAGAAACTTTGGGCGTCTTCACTGAAGCCCAGCTTGTACTGAATGAACCCTCGCAGGTTGTAGATGTGACCCAGCCAGCTGTTTCCCTCCTCAGTGCCAATGTCCTTCACGTTTTCTCTTAGACGTATAAGTAAGGATCTGCTGGGGTCCAGATCCCAGGTGAAGTGGCACTGCAGGGCCTCCAGTTTGGACACCGGTGTTTGACTCTTAGAGGCACTGAAGAAGAACAAAAGGAATACATTTTTCAAAAAGCAAATTCAAAAAGTATAATGGAGTATGGCCCACAAATGACACTCGTGCTTGTCTTGTATTGTACTTCTTAAATATAGATGAAAACAGATATTACACAGTATTGTGTTAAGCCCACTTTTCAAACAAATTCAGTCAATTATTTTCTCATACTGATATTCTGCACAAACCGTGCTGTTGTATTTACTGTATAGTGTCCTTACTGTAAGGTAATTATTATATTTACAGCACATTGGCTCAACCAAAAATCGTTTTAAAAATGTGCTATATAAATAAAACTTGATTTGAATTCAAGTTGAAAACATTTTCTATCAAATCTAAGTTGATAAGAAAAATGCCCAATAACTTCTTTTCATATCACGCTTGAAATAAACCCTTCCTATTTCCTCTTATGATAAGCAATCTGAGGCTTCTGTTTTAAGGGATGAGCTGCCAACAGAATAAATGAAACCCTACGGAGAGCTGTGATATAGGCTGTTGTTTTCTTAAAGCATATTCAAGTATTTACCCTTGTGTTGTGTTCAAAAGCTGTTACCGTTCATGGTGTTCGCGGGTACATTTTGACCCATGATGTATCTCAGTCCAAAATAATGATTATCATCCAATATTGTTTTAACTACATCATAACTAACTTATTATGCATTCATAACCGTACAATTCTGCTTTAATTTTATTTGATGGCCCCAAAACACATTACACCACATATTTAAGTAAGAAATATGATTAAATTCACTCATTATATTCCCTATAGTGAAGAAGTGTATAATTATGTTATCTGACTAATAGACTAATATTAGAATACAATTTCCCCCAAAAAAGTTTTTACAACTTTATATTATTAACTACAGTAACCTCTGTGGTATTACGTGTCAAAATTGACCCACATGCTAGAAGAAAAAAAAAAGAAAAAGCTTTTGTTGGACAATGTTGTTCATGCCACGCCCCCACAATATGAAGTGTGTTTGTGTGTGTGTATGTGTGTGTATCTTTGTGTGTGTGTGTGTGTGTGTGTGTGTGTGTGTGTGTGTGTGTGTGTGTGTGTTGTGTGTGTGTGTGTGTGTGTGTGTGTGTGTGTGTGTGTGTGTGTACATGCTTGTGTGTACGTGCTTGTGTTAAATTGTTACAGATGAAGGGGGTGGGGCTGGGGCATCTAAAGTCAAAGATGAATCCTGATTGGGCCAAATTTGACCCAGAGTCACCCACAACAATGCTGCTGGGTCTTCCCAGACCCGAACACCCAATTATACACTTTATTTTTTATAGAGACCTTCAGATTTGGCTAAAATTGTCAAAATCATTTTTGTAGTGTTTATATAGCTGTTATGGAGGATATCATGAAGCCTTGTTCAGATAAAAAAAACTAGAGCATAGTTATTATATCATTTTAACTTGAAACGGGTCACGGGAGACTCGAACACAACATAAGGGTTAAGCATAATTTACCTACATTTGATTAATTTTGCTAACTTATGCTAACTTAACTTAATATACCTCACCTCGAGTGAGTGGCCCAGCCCTTCGTATATTTTTCTGTATGTGGCCCTCTGTGAAAAAAGTGTGGACACCCCTGGTCTAAAGTGTGCTATGTTTGGATAACCACATTTCATAGGGAGGAAGACCGATACAAATGGAGTAAACTTGAATTAACAGGAAGGGAGGGAAGGATTTGTATTTGTGTTAGTTGTTGGACATAATTGAGCTCTAAAATGTACTGTGTTTGGTTGTCTATGTGAAGAAATAAATGTGATTTGATATGCAGCAAGGAACAAAGTGAAAGAAAGAATAAGCAAATTAATGGATACAAATGACACATTAATAGAAGAGTAGAGAAAAAGGTGTTTCAAAGAAGGGGAGAAAATAAGTAACTAAGGAAAGGCAGAAAAGTTAGAGATAATAATTTGTAAAAAGGTTGATGGTAAGGAAGGAGCAGTGGCGAGCCGTCAGGGCCCTCTTTTAGGGCCTACGATATTCTATAAAATAATATTTAAAAACATTAAAAAAAAAAAAAGATTTTTTTTTTTAGTTATATTTTTCATTAGTTTTACCAAAATGAATTGATTTAAAACATAATGCAATATCCTTTTCAATTTCAAAGAACACAAACCCCCGGGCCGTTGTTTTGATATTCCGCTGAAGTATACGCTGTGACTAATAACTCATTTTTTATTTATTTTTTATTTTTCGAGGGAAGGGGAGGGCCAGAGGGCGTAGCTATACAAGTCACGGCTCGTCACTGGGAAGGAGGATACAAGTAAGTAGCTAAGGTATAGGGTGGTAGGAAGAAAGTTATGACATTGAGCAACAAAGTTGAACAAAGAGCCAGGAAATGTAACTGTGACTAAGGGAAATAAAATAGTTAATTAAAAAAAACAGATGGATTTAGCATTTTTCCTCCTGCCGTAACATAACCACAAATACATTAATAGGCTGATTATTAAATAAAAGAAAAATAAATAGGCCTACATAATTTTAAAATTCCTTTAGACCTGGCATAAATCGAAGAAGTAAATTAAGAATTAAGAAGGAACGGATTGGGTAACTTTCAGGATCCATAACGCAAAAATATTCTCCAATAACTCAATAGTAAGACATCCATTTTCCCAATGTTACTTATGATTTACTTTTACAATGAAATCCAGAATCAGCAACTCACCTCATCATTCAGCTGTTTCCTCCGTAGTTCTGTAAAGTGATGTGTATCTTAAGTTTTGCTGTAAATGATGGGATGTTGTTGAGCACAGAGCTTTAAATGCTCACTGCTGATAAAACGGGCGGGGCATTAAGGCGTACATCTCATGAACTGCCTCGTTGCGCCTTGACTTTCGTTTTCCGGTAATGGAAACTACATCTAAGGGAGGATCAGAACAACAGCATTCTCTGTTTTCTCTCGTTTCCCACGAATGAAAACCTACTCTGTCACATAGAAGAAGGGGGGGGGGGGGGGGATAAATGTGCCTTCACTTTCGTTTCACACTTGATTCCTTAAACTGGGTCATATTTTCTGTTAAATTGACATGGGCAAAAGTGTTTGTCTTTTTATTTAAAGCTATAGCCTATATGTCATTCCATAACAAACATTGATTTGGCCAGCTCAGCCATCAATGGTAGCCTAGACTTATCTTCGGTTACACTGGTGGCTACTCTCTCAAAGTCCCCTCCTGAGAAGAAAATCATGCCACTTCTGCTATATTTGATGAGAGATACAATTATTTTTATCCATAAGTTCTTAATAAAATTGTTACTGTTGGACTCTGTACTTGTTAGACTATACCCCAAATACAATGAAGTACTTTTATTATGTACTTTGAGTAATACTAGGTCAAACTCCTGTCCTGAGTACATTCTTTCATGTATTCTGCTATCTTTGATAAGAGATAATATCTATATTTCAGATATTTATTTAAATGAAAAGTGACCTTTGAATAAATATTGCAAAACAAAGCCTATATCACCTGCAGGCTTAGCCAGTGTGTATTTCTTCCTGCACTACAAGATTTCGATGTGTACAAATCTGGGCCATTTATTGTGTCATTTCTCCAAACACATACAGTACAAATGCCTGTATTGGAGTCTTAAAAAGGTGCAGTAGAAGGACTTTAGCAGCATCATAAGAGGCCAACAAGAGTGACAGGGGTGTGTCACTGTGCTGAAGGAAAGTTGTGAACAGCTATCCACGACAGTCTCTAAAGACTTTCCAAGGGGTAACGATCCTGCTGCTGGAGTACTGATCTAGTGGATCTAGTGTTGATGTCATCTGTCTACCATATAAAATACTCTGTCTAACATTATCTGTAGCCTACATCAGGGTTGCCAACTCTCACGCATCTGGCGTGTGACACACGCTTTCACTCTCAATCTCACGCTCTCACGCTGCCCAAACTATTCTCACGCCAAAAACAAGAATACCGAAGACTATAGAAACGGTTTTGAAAACTTTTGTCAGGTAGTGATCGTCTTCTCAATAGAACATATTTGATAATGTCTTCTGGCCAATCAGAATCAAGATAACGGCGTGGTGTTGTTCCAGGAAGTCCCGACGGAGAATACTTTTGCTGTAGTACATCTCTATATACATCGATACAACATTACGTGTTGATAGAAATCAACACGTAATGAAATAAGACCCCACGGTTTGATGATTGATAGGTGCAGGGACGTGCACAGGTACGGGCTAATGTTAGCCGGGACGCCCCGTATTTGAGCCAAAAGGGGCGTGTCCCGTACGGGACTCTGTTTGTCCCGGACTCCCGTGTAAAGGGAAAAAAAAAATAATAATAATGTTTGCGCAATTCAGTGTGTGTTTGTGTGCTGTATGCGAAGGGCGCTACCGCTCAGTTGACAGGGCAGGCACAATGCTCGCACGTGAGTGTGTGTGTGTGTGTGAGATTTTCTCCGGTGGGCCGCGGGCGGCGGGTAGCTGCATCATTGTTTGTGTGGCATGTCAGCCTGTTCAGTCGTGTGGGGAAATGAGCGCTGCCGGTGGAGGAGGTGATAATGAAAGAGGAGAAGAGAGAGAGGATGTGGTTCTGGGCCCTGGCCCTTCTAAAAAGAAAATACTTGTGTCTTACAACAGTGGGAAGAAAAACACAGTTGGGTAAAGCCAGTGGCGGCGCCAGAGATTTTCTCTAGGGGTGCTGTGGGGTAGCTTGACGTTTCATAGAGGGTGCTCAAACATTAAGGGTTTCCCATTAATGCACCAGCGCTACAGTTGAATTTTCTACTGCAACACTCCCCACACGCACACACAGTGTACCCGCGACTGTTACAATGAAGGCTCGATAATCAGCTCACGGCATATAGGTGTAAGCAGGGGTAAAGTGCTATTTTTACAAGTGGGGGGTGGCTCACCTCCTCTAGGGGGGTCCTCACCTCCTCTAGTGGGGTCCGGGGGCATGTTTCCCCCGGGAAGATTTTTTTAAATATTGAAGTTAAAAGCATCAATCTGGTGCACTTTGAGAGCAACGTGAAGAGATCTATGGATACATCTCTCAACATCCATATGACACAGAACTGTAAACAGATTTTCTATTTCTTTATAGATATTTTTTAAATCACTCCCCTTTTAAAACAAACCGTTTGAGACCCACTGAGATAACTAGACTAAAGTTAACTATCTAAACACTGAGAGCCCTTTACTTCACCTGAGCTGAGGTAATCTGAGACTATCCGTATGGGAGGAGAGAGTTCTCCCTCCACCTTGTTGTTGAAAAAGCTCCTAATAACCGTTAGCTTGGCTAGCTAGCACCAGATGCTAACCACAACGATCTCCGGTAGAGGCGAGCTCTCTCTCTCTCGCTCGCGCACACACGCAAACAAAATGGCTCGTGCCACACACACACACACACACACACACACACACACACACACACACACACACAGAGCAGAGCTTGAATGAAACACAGAGACCAGAGAAGCTACTTGTAGGCTACTCACGACGCTAGGCTATTATGTGCAGAATCCCTCTCGCTTTCAGGTGGTTTTGATTGAGTGTCCACACGTGGACGTTTAAGGACTAAAAAACGATCCATCTTTCACTTTGCTGTTAGCAAATAATGTGGTGCTCGAGCTAGCTAACAGGAAGTCACTCAAGTGTCAAAGTAATTTAGCCTATGGGTAGGTCAAAAATCGAATGGGTGCTGGCCATTGGCCTAATCATATCACCTGTGTTGGCTTTATGTTTTTGGTCAAAAATATGTTTGTTTCACATTTGCATTGATGTAATCAATAATGTTTCTAATTTAATAAAAATAATAATAATAATAATATTCGAAAAAAAGAAAAAAACATATTTCTTGGGGGTGCTTAGGCAATCCTGGGGGGTGCTTCAGCACCCCCTAGCTCCCCCCTGGCGCCGCCCCTGGGTAAAGCCCGTGAGTGGAGATCTGTCTCGGGTCTTCTGCACCTTGTGTCGGAGGGAGTTTTCAATAGGTCACGGTGGAGAAAACGACCTGAAACAGCATGCTGGCACAGAAATGCACAAGCGAGCAACACAAAATAAAGGTGCATCAAATATAACTAAATTATTCGGCAGTTCAACTGCAGAACAAGACAAAGTTGTATGGGGTCAGTTCAGTCTCAAAAATAAATAAAGGCACACAAAAGGATACACAAATGTAATTCCGGATTTATATATAAATGTCTCCGTCCACACACATATTTTTCAATGCACACACACAAACTTATCATTTTATAAATGTAAAAAAGTTTCACAAATATATTTCTCATCCACACACAAATAGTTACATCAAAAACACATTTGAGTATTGTTACATTTATATAAAAAACGCTTTCTGTGTGTGAATCTCTCTGCATTTGTGTGTGGATTTTTGAGACTCCCCTGACGCAGCTAGATTCACACCACAAACTTTTTTTAAGAGGCGAGTGTGTCTTCGGCCAATCAGATCTGCTTAATTTTAAGCCAATCACATGCGTGTGCCCCCACGAGGGTGTGCCTAATGCGTTTCCAACGTAGTGTAACATCTACGCGGTTTGCGGAGTCTGGGGGTGTGAAAGTTCAGAGTTCATCTCCAACAACATGGCTTCTGGAAGTGGCGCTCCCGAGATATATATAGAGATATATAGATCGATATATCTATATATATCTATATCTCAACAGTTTTTACACCTGCAGCTTTTTTTCTTTAATAAAAGAGTTTTGGTATAATTATTTTTAGCTATTATCATTGTTACACTTTTACACTTGCCACTCCCTTGAACACAAGCAGTACATTCAATGATGGTTCTTTATTATTCATATAGTAAATCAAACTCAATTCAGTTGCTAAAAAAACTGTATTATTATATATGTATAATTAAATATTTAAAGTAGCCTTTGGTAAACAAATTATTTTCTTCCCCAGATTGAAACAACACCGCTTTCCTTTTCACGATGAGGTTAAAAAAGGTTGATAGCTAATTATTATATTTTAAAGGGACACTGACCAATTATTGTATTCTATACTGAAAGGGGATTTTTGGAGAATTATTACATTAGAAATGTATAAATCATAACCATGTACTCCTGATGCAGCACCTGTCATTTCCTTAACAGTACACATGATATTATCCTGTCTTCTCACATGACAGCTTGCTAATTACAACCTTTTGTTTATCAACCTACACATCTGAGGGACTCGTTTAGCGTCTCCTATTACCGCCAACACCTCACTGAAAAGTGAACTCTTACATTTCTCTTTTACAATTCCAATCCAGCAACTGCAATTTGAGTTAAACAATTTTAATTTTAAGTTGCAAGTACAATTAAGGACAATAAATGTTGATCCTTATTATCTGGCTTCAATGAGGTTCTCAACATATTGGACAGTGTAGAGATAAATGTCAACTCCAAAACAATCCGATTCTTGTAGTGGATCGATTGTGTCCTGCAGCAGCATCATTTCAGGATCTGAGAGAGGACTTTCCAGTGTAGGGACATTGACCCCAGGATGATGCTGATTTGAAAATCCACTCTCTTCCCACTGGATCTGCATGCGCACCTCTGCCAAAAAAAGAGCACCGGGTCATTTGAAACAAAGCGCATTTGCGTACCAACATTGAGAGAGGGAGAGAGGGAGAGAGAGAAGGGAGAAGAGAAAATAGAGGAGAGATGAGAGAGAGAGAAGAGAGAGAGAGAGAAGGATATTTGCGAGTTGCATACATGTATGAACCATGATATGAACTCAGGGTCGGCCCGTAGCGCTGGCTAGATGTTCACCTAGGGCGCCAGATCTGTGGAGGCGCTGCGCTGGCAGTTCTGGGAGGGAAAAAAACATTTTGACCGTTGGGGCTCATCCTAATTTTCGGTCTTGATGTAACAATATTCATAATTAAGTAAATGTAACACCCTTTTCACCCCGGTTACACGTTTCATTTGCCC